CTTCTCCTCCCTCTCGCCCTCCTACCTTTTCCCAGGAACCGACGTACCTCCGATGGCATTTAATGACGGCGTTTAGAGAACTTTAACACATTTAAGCGAACTATTCCACTCCTATTGGTTTAACGCGATTACGTAATTCCGAATCAGCGTCTCAGTTCATGGCAACGCCGAGGGAATAGGAACAATAGGCTAATAATGAATCATTAGAATAATCAATTACAGGGTATATGGGGCTTCCGAACCATTGTGATCAATATTACCTCTGTCTTATGTAGGTCACAAGCCCTTTTCGCATTTTAGAGGTAGATTTACCTGTTATTGTGGAAGTGAATACAGTGTTAATGTTTATTCTTCTGTGTGAGTGTGGGGGAAAATCAACCGAAGAAATGCACTATTGTTCCGTGAAGGATTAGATAAACATATTTTGTGATTTATAACTTTTTCTTAAATTTAATTGAAAATGTTTTAATCTAGCTGGCGTTACAGAACAAAAATCAAATTCATGCAGTTTAGAACCAGGGATGCAAGAAAAGCATCAACACGGGATATGTAAAGTAAACAACAACAGTAACAACAACAACAGCATTACCAGCACCAGAACCACAACCAACAACAACAATAACAACAACAACACTGAAAAATGTATAAATAATAATAACACTGCTTTGTCTTTGCGTGAAACTTATTGGTCCAAAAGTAACATGAATATCAGCTACCTACAATTACCTACAATTTTCATGATTAGGAAAGGACATCGATTACCTCTTGACGAGGAAACGATTGGCAGTCCCCATGAGAATTTCGATGCCATGGTTGTTGTCCTTGTCATTATGATTGCTATCATTATTTTATTTATCCTTATTATTCGTTATCTACTATTCACCTCATTCGTATTCTTTCATTAACGAAAAAAATCTTTATCGATATTTTCCCTTAATCCGTGGAATAAATAGCCAAAAAAATTATTAATATTAAAGTGATATGTCCAGGTGAAGTTGAGAATTCGGTGAGGTGTGCAGACCGGACAATGGGAGGGGGGAGAGGAAGGGAGGGGAAGGGCTGCTTACCGTGGATATCCGGAAGGTGGGAGAGAGGGGGGGAGGGTAGAGGGGAAGAGGATAGGGGGAAGGAAGGAAGAGGAGGTAAGGGAAATGGGTAGAAGCGAGAGAGAGAGAGAGAGAGGAAGAAAAGGGGGATAGAAGGGAGGGAGATAAGGGTGAGGAAAGAAGAAGAGGCAAGGAAAATGGGCAGAGGAGATGGGGAAGAAGAAGGTAGAGAAAATAGGAGGTAGGGAAATGGGGGGGGGATGAAGAAAAATGAAGAGAAAATAGGGAAAAGGGGAAGAGGAAGAGGGGGGGGGTAGAGAGGTAGAGGATAAGGGGGAGGGAAGAAGAGGAGGAAAGGAAAGAGAGAGGAGATAGGGTAGAGAGAAAGAAGGTAGGGAAGGACGAAAGAAGAAAAGGTAAGAGGAATAGGAGAGAGGAGAGAGTAGAGGAGAAGAGTGCGGGGAAGAAAGAAGATGAAGTAAGGGAAATGGAGAGAGGAAAGAGGAAAGGCAGAGAAGAGAAGAGAAGAACGGGGGTATAAAAGAACAGATAGTAAGGGAGGAAAGAGGAAGAGAGAGTAAAGAAGTAGAGGAAGGAAAAGAAAAGAAGGTAAGGGAAATGAGGAGAGGGAGGGAAAGGGGGGGGAGGGGGAAAGGTAGCGATGGAAGGACCACGAATCCGGAAAAACAAAAATGGGGGTATTATGATTGGTGAGGTTTCCATCCGGTGGGTTCCGGTTGGTATCGCTGTGGTAGGTGTTGGTAGCCTCTCGATACCCGGTGTGGCGTGTGACTGCGATCGGTCGGGAGATATGTATCATTAAATATCGATTAGTTAAAGGAAATCTTTACCTAATGCTACACTCGAATAAGAGGGAAAATATCTATTTAAAAAATCTAGAACTACAACAATTGGGAAAAAATAAGAAAAAAATAGATCGACAAAAGGGGGGAGGGGGGAATCTAGAAATACGAAAAAAGGAAACGAAAAACCCGAAAGAAGAAAAAGAAGAATAAAAACACACATACACACACACAACAAAAACAAACAACAAACAAAGCTAAATACTAAATTAAAAAAAAAAAACATTCGCAACCGTAAAGTAAAAAAAAATCAACGCACACACACACACACACACACACACACACACACACACACACACACACACACACACACACACACACACACACACACACACACAGATCCCCCCCCCCCATCCCACACGCACACACACACCACTCTACCAGTATGGTTTCCCCACCGGAGCCAAGGAGGGTCGCGTGGGTAAGGCAAGCTCAAGAGAGGGCAAAGCGAGACCTGGAATTTGCGGTGAAGTTAGCGGTCATAAAAATCATATATCTTTCTGTCACTCCCGAGTCCCTAAAGCTGGGAAGAAAATAGGCAAGACACTTTTATTGATCTCAGGATAGTGTGTGTGAGTGTGTCTGAAGTAGCTGGGAAAGTCCGGTGTTATAAAATGATCATATGTTTAAAGTATCCGATCCCGCGAGAGTGGTTCGGCGAATTGGTATTATATTGATGCCCCGGTCAGCTGTTAACGATTCTCTGTTGTTGAATTGTGTTTAAGCTGTATCGTCTTGATGTTTATTGATTTTTCCATATAATGTTTTCACTTGTCATGTATAACTGCTATCTAACATTTCTATTTTCAAATCCTAGATTCTATTCTTCTTCTAATATATTCATTATTTACTATATTCTATCTAACATACCATTTTTCTATATCTACTTTCTATCTATCATTTTTATTTTACTATTGCGTTGTGTTGATTCAAACTGCAACGAGAAACTAAAGTCTACTTACTTACACACAGACACCAAGGAAGTAGCTCTTGAGACTTTGATAAACTGAAGTGCCTTGGGAAAAAGTTGTATACTTTAAGATATGTAAGTCCAAGAAAATAAACTGGAGGTACAAAGGCTTGGCAACAGGAAGTCCGAAAACAAACACACACAGACCGACAACACACACACACACACACACACACACACACACACACACACACACACACACACATATATATATGTATATTATATATATATATATATATATATATATATATATATATATATATATATATATAATATGTATATATATATATATATATATATATATATATATATATATATAATATGTATATATATATATATATATATATATATATATATATATATATATATATATATATATATATATATATATATATATATGTATATACCAACGACTCTCAGAATATAAGTCAGGAGTAAAAGACAACACAAATATAAAGTGAACAGGCTAGGTCGGGAAATTTGGCTTCATTTCCCGTTCCGAAATTGCATGAACCTGGATAGACTCCTGTGCAAAATGACCCCTTTTGCATAATGCCACGTCCCCTCCGGTCCAAACACGGCAAGGAGGAAGACGTAAGTAAAAGAAAGAAGACAGAAGAAAAGCGACGAAGAAAAAAAAGGGAGAAATAACGATAAGAATGAAGAGTAAAAAATGTAAAATAAAAAAGAAAAGAGTAAAAATGAAATTAAAGATTAACTAAACGAAAGGAGACCAAACGTAAAGAAATATAGAAAATGAAAGAAAATAAGGTAGATGAAAAAATAAGGAAAATGAGTAGATAAGAAAGAAGAAAATAAAAAAAGAAAACAAAATATAAAATATATAATGGCTAAACGCAAATAATAAAAGCTTGAATATAAATGCTTAAATAAATCAATAGTTGGGAATAATATACATACATACATACATACACACACACACACACACACATATATATATATATATATATATATATATATATATATATATATATATATATATATATATATATATATATATATATACATATATATATAATTTGCAATGACAAATGATATAGAGCGAGGAGAGAGAAAGAGAAAACAAAACTAAAATAAATAAAAAATAAATAAGCGGACCTCCTTTAAAAAGAAATGTAAAACCAAAGACAAAAAAATATACAAAACAAAAGCCAAGCGCGGACAAAAAAAAAAATCCTGACATTCACGCACTTTCTCCAATTTTCTCGCGACTTCTCGTTTCTGTACTCTCTGTGCGTGTGTGTGTGGGGGGGGGGGCGGAAGAAATACGGAGGAAAGGGGAGGGAGGAGGGAGGGCAGAGGGGATGGGATTAGTGGGGAGGATAGGTAGGTGAGGGGGTAAGAGGGAGGGGGGGAGGCGGGTGAGGGGGTAAGAGGGAGGAGGGTAGGAGGGTGAGGGGTGAGGGAGGGGTACAGAGCAGGGGGATTTCCTCTTCAAGGAATGACCGAGTGACGACAGCGAGAGAGGGAGAGAGAGAGATAGAGGGAGAGAGAGAGAGAGAGAGAGAGAGAGAGAGAGAGAAGGGGGGGGGGGGGGGGAGAGAGTGAGAGTGAGCGAGAGAGAGGAGAGGAGAGAGAGAGAGTGAGAGAGAGAGAGAGAGAGGGAGAGAGAGAGATAGAGGGGAGAGAGAGAGAGAGAGAGAGAGAGAGAGAGAGAGAGAGAGAGAGAGAGAGAGAGAGAGAGAGAGAGAGGGAGAGAGAGTGAGAGTGAGAGAGAGAAGAGAGAGGGAGAGAGAGAGAGAGAGGGAGAGAGTGAGAGAGAGAGAGAGAGAGAGAGCAAACGAGAGAGAGAGAAAGAGAGAGATGGAGAAAGAGAGAGAGAGAGAGAGAGAGAGAGAGAGAGAGA